ATTTTTTATTCAAATTCTGATGGCACATATTTACTTCCATACGGATTTTTCATTAGCAGGTATCAGTGAACGTTATCGGAAGCAGAGCAATTAAATGCAATATTTAAATTATCCTCTGTGCACAGGGAACAGCAACAGAGACATGCAGCCTGCAGGGCAATGCGCTGCATCACAAGTCAACCTGGAGTTTTACTTGGCCGAAAACCTGAGACTACAAAACAAGTAAGGGGGTATTATGTGCAGCTTAGGTTTTTACTTCTTTAACCCACAACATGAACTCTATGCAGGTAAATTAGCTCATTCTCTACAGGGTTTACTGAGGTTCTATGTTTGGTCAGGCTACTTTCCAAAACTTTGTAGTTGGAGCCAAAGCAAAAAAGAAGTAAAAATACGGCTTACCTTTTGAGGTAAGAGAAGTCTTTGACAGGTTGAGCAGACGAAGTCCCTTGCTGAGGCGACAAACCTGCTGGATTAAGCTGGACACACCTGCAGCATTTACAGATGATGCAAAAAGTTGTTTTAGTGAGCTTAAAGCTGTATGTGTTTTCTTTTGTATGTTATTTTCTTTCTTTATCTTCAAAAAATGCACAGATAAAAAGTGTGTTCATATCAGGTTGATTAAGATCGATCGGTGACAGAGCAGTAAAAAAATAAGAAAGAATTCTGTCTTTTTCCAATTAAATTAAAATGTTACTCATTGAAAGTCACAATAGGTAGGTCAATAAAACCAAAGATTGTATATCCGATGCAGCATTCTCACTGGTGCATCTCTAGTTTGGATCAGGATGTGTTGCCTTCTCAGGTAATACATCTAAAACAGACACAGTAAGTCAGACATGCACTGAGATTTATTTCCTGATACCTTGGTTGTCCAGTGAGTTGTGGGCCAAATTAATGGAATGGATAACAGATGCTGGGTTCTCTGATAGGGCGGCGGCCATTTTCTGAGGAAAGTCTCTGTACACATAGAGAAATCAAGGCTATGAAGACCTGCATTCATATAATCCAACATCTTTAGAATTAATTTCATATCTTAATTCATAGAGGTTTGATTAATGAGTAGTTAGTACAGATCAGATCTGAAAAATGAATTTACACCATATGAAGTCATTAACGTTCAGAAACCAGAGCTGTTTCCTGCTGGGATCCTCCAAACTGTTCCAGGCAGGAGACAAATGTTTGCAATCCTAATTTTTTAGACAGCTGCTTCACAATTATGAGCAACTACTGGGTACAATAAATAATTCCATCGAAGGGCAGCAAAGAAACAATACAAGTCACTTACACACTTATTCCTCATTTTAGTGTAGCCAATTAGGCTAACATGCATGTTTCTGGATCACGAACAGAAGGTTTTTCTAGAGAGAACCCAGGATTGCAGTAGCCTGGGTGCCATTCCGAACTTAGTCCCGCCCACAAGGTTTGAGGTCGGGAAGTTCGGTCTGGCTCTGCTCCATAGTAGCGCGAGTATTATCGCCCACTGTCAGGCGATCCAATCAAATTTTCAGGGCGGGCTTTATACTATGATGGACAGATGATCAACAGTAAAGTAATCAACCTCGTGACCAAAGCGCGCTTGGGTGACAACAACAATGGCTGCCGCCGGAGAGTTGAGGTGAGTAGATTCTGCTATTAGGTCTGTTCTAGAAGATATCGACAGCAATTTAATTTTAAAAGAGGAACAGAGAAACGCGATCAAGGCTCATCTTCTTATTCTAGGCATGAAACTGCACGCTTTGATTTTTGTTGACAACAACTATGCGTTGCTTAACATACGTCACTCACTCCGTTGCTCTTATTGGTTGTACGTCTGTCCAATTGAGTGCAGAGGCATTTTTTTTCCTGGTTCGTTCAAAACACGCCCCATAATCACAGCTCTATGGAGCAGTATCAGACTCATATTCTGACTAGAATTGAGTAGGACTACGTCAGGCTAGGATTGCAGAGGAAAAAGCTGAAAACTCCTCAAAGATAACTGTTAGTCAGGAACGTTAATGCAAATTTATTCACCTAACTAAATAAATAAAAATACTTTTTAAATGTTTTCCATCCTTTTTGTTAAAGAGAATCAAAAACTTTGGAAGCCTGCTTTTGCAAATATTAACAGTCTCCTACTGCCTAATGTGTCAACATTTTTAGAACGCCCACTTCAAAAACTTCATATCCTAAGACTTTGCTAGGACACAATTAACAAATAAACACAGTTTGGAAGAATAACTTACGATTTTAACCCAGCGTTCTCCAGAGTAATCTCCTCAAGGCTGGAGGATTTGCTGACCGTGTGAAGGACCTGCTCAGTGACCTCTGATCCCTGTTAGTGAAAAAATAAAAAAACACAAATGACATAGAAAACAGGGTTCTGCGATTAGTTTGACATGAAGTCTAAAGGAAACATTTAACCTACTAGGTGGAGCTATGAGATGTAAATAATGTGATGAAGCAATTACCCCTTTGGTTAATATCTTAAAAAAAAGTGCCTGTAGCAACATGTTAAAGTTCTTTTAATGTGATATATTTTTGCAAATGAAGAAAAGCTTTGAAACAGCTCAATAAGACTCTACTTTAAACATGCAATATCAAACTTTGAAGATGTCACAGTCTTGTTTTCTTTTGAGTATTCAGTTTTACGCCATGTATTCTAGTTTTATTAGTTTAATTCTTATTTTGTTGTGTTTTCTGGTTATATTACAGTTATCAGGTTTTTATTTGTTGACCTCTTGTGTTGGTCTCCTTTTTCCCTAGCTCCTTAGACTGCTCTCTTCACACCTGCTCCCAATCTGCTCGTTAGTCCACTCTTTGTTCAGTTAGCCATAAATACTCTCCTTGTGCAGTTCCTCAGTGCTGATTCCTCATCTAACTTCCTCCAAATCCGTCTTCCTGTGTCTTCCTCATCGTGATTGTTTTCCCCTGAAGTCTCCATGGTTTCTGGTTTGTTTTACTTGCTATTAATGATCAAAGAACTCTCTGTTTATTCAAACTATTACCAAAAGAGGGTGGATCTGGCCTGAGTGATAAACCATCCGTATATTAATTACAAACAACTGCAAGTTAAACACTGATGTCTTTATTCTAATAATTCAGGATTACAGAAATCTAACATCTATGCAAACACTGCACGCTATTAGAAAATAAACACGAGGTAGACTAACTGGCTTCTGAGTTTTTCCAACATAGGCCAGATGTTAATACATTCAATAATGTCCATTTTGGAATAGCAGCAGCTATGATAATAACAAAAGTGCAATTAAAACAACATAAAATACATTCAGCTTAAAATGATAAATGGGTAAAATGCATTAGCAACAGCAGCAGAAGTTTGTTCAGCAAAGCAGCATAAACAGGGCTGTGTGTGTGTGTGTGTATGTGTGAGAGGGAGGGGGGGCAGCTTGTAACAATGGGTCCTCATCCACTTGACCACAAGCGGTTGAATGTGAGCAAATTCTCTAAAAACTAACCTTAAAGCAGAAAGAGAAGGAAAGCAGGATAGAAAAAAAATAAGGAAGAAATATCACTTGCAGCTTTTCACACACATTTCAACCACTAAACCAGAGTTCTTATAACCACCACAGATTAAACATCAGCATTAATTCAAGTTTCTCCTATCTACCTGCCCGCCTGAGTGCAGCACCTCATTAAAGCATCAAAATAGAAAAGTGGATGGGTTTTACTTTGAGACGTCTTCCAGTCCAGGAAGGAAGCGGGGCGGGGGATGGGAGACGTGGTTCGGCCTCAGCTCGGTGTGAGGTCCGTCTCACCGGGGGTCTGTTCTCGGAAGAGCTTTAAGTCAGTCTGATGCTACAGCAGAGGAACTTGATGGGCTTTTAGGTCGAGGAAGGTTTACTTAAGGCTATCAAAGCAGAAGCTACCTCCTGCAGATAGGCCATGATGATCTTCGCAAAGGGGGGAACATCCAGACAGCGTTAAGCTCCGGATTTCCCCGTCTCACCCAGTTAAGCGTGTGCTATGCACAATGGGACACTGCGATCTGTGACTTTTGACACAGGAAAACAAAAGCTACTTCCAGTTAGCTTTCTTTTAGCATTTCACATGAAACGGGCCTCTCCTAACAGGTGTTAAACCCAGGGGGAAGAGGGAGATTGATCTTACAACTGAATGACGTAGGGGTATTTCCTGCTGCGGTCTGTATTCTTGTCAGCTGATGGGTCCTTTGGCCGGAGTTTTCCAGAATGTTCTCTTTGTGCAAAACAAAGGGGAATGATTTGAAATGGTTCCTTAAATTGATTTGGCTCAATTGTGGCAATATAGCCTAACACAGGCGAGATTCACATTTTTTTGGTAATAGAATAGACAGAGATAAATAGTTCTTTGATTGATAATTAATAGTTCTGCTGATAACCTAGCCTAGGCCATGAAATTGGTGGGAATACTTGGGTTTTAACAGCCGATCCAGGAACCATCCAGAACCTAATTAGCTCTAATTTACTCACTTACCAGAAACCCTGGTAAGTGAGTAAATTAGAGCTACAATTATTCAACTAAGAACACTAAATTGATTTCACCTCCGATTTTGAATAAGGTAAATAATTACCATACCATACCATACCATACCAACTTTATTTATGAAGCACTTTATACACCGAACAGGACCAAAGTTCAATTCAGTTTCAATTCAGTTTATTTATATAGCGCCAAATTCACAACACATGTCATCTCAAGGCACTTTACAGTTCAACCAGATCATACAGTCAAATTGATACAAAGTTTTCTGTCTAAGGAAAACCAGTTGATTGTATCGACTCATTGACTCAAATACAATCCCTCACACTAAGCATGCTTGTAGCGACAGTGGAGAGGAAAAACTCCCTTTTAACAGGAAGTGCTGTACACAATCATAAAATACAATAAAATTATAAAATAGAGAAAATAATAATTAACTAATTAACCCCAGTTGTAGTTAATAATTTATTCATTATCTGCAGGATATAATTTTGCATAATGTATTGGCATCCTTGGGTGGGCCTGAGACTGAAATATTCGCTGTATGAAATACAAATAAATCATCCAGGCTGCTTTTGGTTAAAATTGATAATAACGCTACTCCTGTTGGACTTCAGCTTTGTTTTTTTGTTTGTTGCTGCTATTCTGAAAGGTGTGAGATCGGATTGTGGATTTTTGTATTTCATAGTTTCTTACAGTCACATCAAGCTGGGTCAGTGGTAGCTTGTGTAATTACAACTACTCAGCTGATCCCAGTGTTTTGAGATCAAAATTGTGTAGTGCTCTTTGGTGCCATCTCATGGCGTAAGCGTGCCACTGCAACCACAGTTGGAATTTCCTAGGTGAGGACACCCTGCCTCCCTTTGGTGGTTGCTTTTCGAAATTACAGCTGAGCAACGTTAAGAAGGAGCCTTGTTTTCTTTTATGCTGTTTTACTGTTGCTTTCTGTGCTGAGGACAAAAAGTGTTTTAATAATTGGAGAATGGTAAACATCAAAACTCCAGGAATAAAAAAAAAACCTTCAAGTTTAATTGTAAAGCTGCTGCCAACCGTTACCACTTCTGCAAGGTTTGCCAACACTGCATTATCATTTTGTGTGTAAGAGTTGTTTAACAGTGATTTCGTTATCAAAAGACAAACCCAGCGCCATTAATAGTCTCAATCTAGAGGCCTCTGAAAAAGATATTCAGAAACTTATGGACTCAACTAGGAAGCCAGAAAAAGAAATGGTCATCGCAAATATGTTTGGTCAACTTGTGTTGCTGTATCAGAAAAAGTAACAATTAGAAAGAGAACTTAGAAGCTGAGAAAAGGGCAAGAAAGGCAGAAGAGGAGAATAATAAAGCGACCTCCAATTTCCTGAACTGCAAAGAGGGGTTGCTCCCTGCTCGCAGGACGCAGAGTCAAGCAAAGGGTCAGATGAAGGGTCAAGCGAAGGATCAGATGAAGGGTCAGAAGACGGACCAGAAGGAGCAAAAGGATCCAAAGAGAGAGAATAAAGTGAAACCTGCTTTAGATAGGGTTGATAGAAGGGGTACCAGGAGAGATCCTCCTCTGACAAGAACAAAGCTGAGAACAGACGTGAGGGAGCAGGTAAAGTTCAGTAGTGTAGTGCGTAGTTCCATCCAGCAGAGCAGCTTCAGACTGAAGAGCATGATGAACCTGAGCGGCATGCCAGGTCCTAGTTATAGAATAAAAAGCAGGTCAGACAAAACACAAAGCACAATCTGCTATGGCACACCTTTGCCACAAAGGCAGCTGTACAGCGAACCATGGGACACCGATTAGCGTTACCATCCTGAGTCGCGGCCATGGCCTAATGGCTACGGAGAAAAAGGCCCACCAGTGTACCATGAGCGGCCTCACATGCCTTCAAGGAGATCAGAGAAGAGCTTTCTACCCTACCACGAGAGCAGCTGGCTAGAGCTATCAGATGAGGATTCAGACAGCCCAGCTCCAACCCCAGAACGGAGATTGAGAATGTGGCAACTTGAATCCCTCGCCCACGACATCGAGCGTTTTGACCCCAGTAACACTGAATCCACTATTGAGGACTACCTTAGAGAGGTAGAACGCTGTCTTTTAGACCTATCCAATCCCTCTGCCCGGGAGAAGTTAACACTAGAAATTCCAGAGATACGAGAATTTTTCATCAGCCTCCAATCACCCCAACAGTACTTCACAACTTATGAATCCCTTTTCAAATGTAAATGCCCCATTAGCGCTGTGGCTGGAGAACCATTCCACCCCCTTCAGTTTCGGTTTTAGCTAAAGTCTGAAAGGGGGGGGTGAATCATATTTGTGTAAAAATAACTAAGTGCTTCTTCATCACCGCAATGATTTTAGCGGAGCCACCAGCGCAGCGATCAGATGATAACTGATCTGTACAATGAAAATAGCTACATGAGCTGGAACGCTCTAGAAAGCAACAATATTTATACAATAATGACCATTATATATTTGGGGGGAAACATAACTCAAGCGATCTCTCCTCTCTCTCCTCCGCTGCAGACATGCAGACAGCATGGTGAAAATGGTTGGATTACTTATTCTACAAAACAGACAGCTCTCTGCAACCAGAGCAAGGCAGACAGTGAGCTACAACAGTAGTTTTCTAAAAGCGAGTCTCCTATCTTGCTGGGAGAATTACATTGGATTTATTTTGTCATTTTGTATATACAAGTGTAAACAAAAAGAAATTTCGTTTAGAACAGCTCTAGACAATTTTATATTTTAAAGTGCAGCATTAAAAACAGTAATAAATACTTTGAAAAAATAGTTATATAAACATTTGACTGTATATTTACAGTTCTAACATTCTTTTTTTCTTACTTTGGGAAGATAGGCCAAACT